TACATGCATACATACATGCATGAATACAGACTGACAGACAGACAGACGGACAGCCAGACAGCCAGACAGCCAGACAGACAGACAGACATGCATACATACATCTGCATGAGTTGTTCATAGTTTCATTTACTTGCTTATGCTTTCGTTTATCTAACGCCTATCTATTTGGATATGCATTTTGATTCATTAGTTGTTCTATCTGTTTGTTCATGTCGACTTCCGGCAGAACATTAATTTCTGTCTAGTCATACTGTTTGGCATATACAATTCAAAACCTAAACCCTAAGGCCTGCACCCCATCTAAAAATCCGGGCTTAAATGATTAAGATTTGCCGTGGAGATATATTACAATACGACAAATGTAGAAAGGACCCCTGAGGAACACACTTGGCATGTTTTCAGGCTTCTAAATGATGTGTAAGGCAAACGACCCGACTCCTCGACGCCGCGGCCGCCGGCGCCGCCGGCTGCGAGGCCGTGGTGTCCGGGACCCACGCCGCGGCGGCCTTTGGAACAAGCAGGATGTCAAGTTTAGGGTCTAGGGGTTCAGGCATTTTAGGGGGTTTAGCCCGGTTTTGGGCTTCGGGTATGAGGGTTTCCGCGGGGGTTTAGGGGTTTAGACCTTCACGGAAAAGTTGGGGTTTTGGGCTCTTGAGCTTCAAGGGGCTGATTTTGGGGGCCCTATAAACCCTAAACCCTAAACTCTTTTTGTTGAGGCTTTCTTGAACAGAAGGGCCCAGTCCATCCTCATGTCCCGTGCACCTCCGGCGGTCCGAGTATCCGTCGTCGAGGTCGTCGTAGTAGCCTGACACGACTTGGCTCATAGAGGCAGCTCCCGGGTCCGAAATTCTGGGTCCGGTGGGTATGGGGTTCAGGGATTTAAGTTAAGTTTCTATAATAAAGAAACCAGATTGTTACCATAGATCCTATTTCTTGGTAACTTAAGCCAAGCCTGAATTAGGGTTCGTGGTTCAGGGTTCGAGGGTGTGAGGGCCGTTGGGGCTTTGAGCTTATTGTTGAAGGATAGTTTGGGATATGGAACTTTCCGAAAATTAGGGTACCTTATTTTGGGGTCCTTATAATAAGGATCCTACTATTTAGGGTACTATATTAGGGTCCCCTGTTGTCGGAAACCCCCACGTCCGTCCACAACTACAGACATGGGCCTTTAGCGACCTGAGGCTTCATACCCTCCTGCCCTGAAGCCAAGGCCCGGGAAAGAGCGAGAAGACGTGGATGTGGGGAAAGCCTCTAAAACTGGGGGTCCCTTTTCGGCCCCAAGAGCAGCACGGCCCCTTTATAAAAGACCTTAAAAGGGACCCCCAATTTAGAGAACTACCCTTCTAGTAACCCTTGGACCCTAAACCCTTATGGTACCCCCAAAGCAGCCCCCTAAAGATGGGCCCTAATTTAAAAAACTACCCATGTGCTGCCTGGTGGCTGTAACTGTAGTCAGAGCAGCCTCCGGCATCAGCGCTTCCCTCGGCCGGAAACCACCAGTGCGGTCTGGAGGGTTTTGGGTCTAGGGATGTCCAGGGTTCAGGGCTTAGGGTTACTTTGGAAGGTGGAATCGGGATGCTCGCGCTGTAGCGGTTTAGCAACGAAGTAAACTCTGCCGCTCGGAACTACCCTCCACCCTAAACTTCGGAGCCGCAGACCCAAAAAAGACCAGGCAAGTACCCATGCCCGTGGCGAAGCTGCATCCGAGAATCCGAGACAGCAGCCCAACCCGAAACCCTCCAGACTCCACCCAAAGCTCTCCTTTAAACAGCACCTGAACCCCGACTGCAAACCATGGAAACCCTCAAAGAGTCCGTGCAGAACTCTTCGCACTCCAATAATCGACTATGATGTAACATGTACTATAGTATATACGACAATATCATACTGCATCCTCCGCACGTTTAAGCCCTTGCTTCCCCTCTCGCGGGCTCGCAGGTTTTC